GAGAGAGAGAGAGAGAGAGAGAGAGAGAGAGAGAGAGAGAGAGAGAGAGAGAGAGAGAGAGAGAGAGAGAGAGAGAGAGAGAGAGAGAGAGAGAGAGAGAGGGGGGGGGGGGGGAAGAAGATATAATGGTTCTTCCGTGCACCATGCTAAGGGACGGAAAAATTGCTTCGAAAATTACGGTCCTTAGCGAGACTGAGAAGATATTACTACTGATACTCTATAGGAAAGTATTTTTTTATGACTGATCACTTCTTCGAGAAAACAGTCTATTTGAAACATATTTTGATATTATTATGGCTGTTATCATTATCATTATCATCATTACTGTTGTTGTTATCATCACCGTTATTATTATCATTGCTATTATTATCATCATCATTATTATCATTATAATGATAATAATTATTATTTTATATTATTGTTATTATCATTATTATTATTATTATTATTGTTTTTCTTATTATAGATATTATCAATACCTTTATTATTTTAGAATCTTCATAATGATGTAGTCCATTTAGGATCGGCGTGGTCTGTCATTATTCAACGGATATAAATAACAAGTCTAAATGAACACTGCCAGACAAGTGCAGTTCATAACAACATGTCAAGGAGGTCCTAAATACTTGATGATGGAAATAAAGGCGAAAATGATTACACACACTTAAGGTTGGCAACTGCCTTCGTCTGCAAGCAGCATTGTTCTGTTTCCAAATTCATTTGTGATTACAGTTGCTTCTTTATTAGCAAGATGGAAGACAAATCATCAACAGGCAGAGGGCAGGGGTAGGAAGGAAATTGAAATGGGCGACCTTCTAAAACCTATTCTGGAGTTTAAGGTTAATTACTTTCCTACTTTAAAAGGAACAGGAGACGTCTGCAAAAGGTCTTTGAATCGCTTTCTATGCAATAGCCGGTTTATTTTATCACAAGTGTTTTTAAAACTAAAACCACGCAAGCAAGATCATACAAAAAAGTATTCTTGCAGAGACAGCATTTGTATTGTTAGGAAATACTGAGAAATATTTTTCACTGCATCCATAACATTTCGTAGAATAAGACGCATAGAATGAGATCCAACATATATTGCATCAATATACAGAAGAAGTGAAGTGAAAGTCTCGACATAAATCTTATTTTAGTTTTCAGCGTGCGTGTGCTAGGGTTCATGTTCGGGCACGTATTCTCGTACGCGTTTATGCCCTTTGCGTGTACTCTTGGGCGTGCAATAGTGTGTGTGTGCGAGCACCCCGAATGTATCTGTCTCTCTGTTTCTCTCTGCTCCCCCCCCCCCCCTCTCTCTGTTTGTCTCTCTCCTCCTCCCGCCTTCCTTTTTACACACGCACGCACACATACACACACACACACACACAACACACACACACACACACACACGCACACACACACACACACACACACACACACACACACACACACACACACACACACACACACACACACACACACACACACAGACACATACATACACATACACTCACACACGCACACACAATGTCAAAAATGGTAGCCATCGCTGTGACAAATCTCAAGTGCACAGAGAAGTAGGGCGAGAGTGGTAGAGCACTGAAAGGATAAAAATCGGAATGTTAGAAAAGGAGAGATGGAAGAGGCTGAAAACGGGTTAATAGATATGGTAAAAGGAAAACCGAACATTAAAAACGGCAGAAAACGAGACAAAAGGAAAATAGAAAAGATGAAAACCGAATAAAAAAGAAAAGATAATTGGTATGAAATAGCAAAAAGAATGGATTTTGAGAGAATAGAAGATAGATAGAAAACAGAAAATAGGTAATAAAACAAGAATGCTATTCTTAAAGCTAAGGGAGGTAAGCAAGTCGACGCTCTTACACAAGAACTGAATACTTGAATATAAAACAGTTGGAGACGTGTTGCGAGGGCAGTCTTATTACAAGAGCCCAATAGACGGAAATTACAGGTATGAAGACAAAAATATGTGGACAGATATATTGGAACAAGGTCACGCACAGCTATTGAAGGAATGAGACAGAAATTGCAGAGGGAGCTGAGGATGGCTTACGAATGTAAAGTGCGGCACATTAGCGATAAACTGTATGCACACACACACACACACACACACACACACACACACACATACATGATAAACACATACTAGATATTGGAATGAAAAAATGCCATCTCAATAAAGAAAGAAAGAGCAAAATATATTGTCACGCTGACAAATAAACAAGTAAAAAAATGAAGTATTACGATAAAAATAGGATAAAATTTAATGTATACATATATAAACATACATATATATGACTATATATATATATATATATATATATATATATATATATATATATATATATATATATATATATATATATATACATACATACATACATACACACACACATGCTTAGCAATTCTTTCCTTCTACTGAAAGCAGCCTTTGCCATTGCAATTCTTGCTCTAATTTCTGTATCACATTTTCCATCATCACTTATCCATGATCCCAAATAACAAAAACTTACCATTTAGAGTGATATTCACAACTATACCAAGTTTTTAAGCTATAGCCATAACCTTTGTATTCTTTACATTGATCTTCATTCCAGTTTCAGCAACCTTGCCTTGGTCATTTGCAGACCTTACACCTTTTAATAATTCTCATCCAACATTTAGTCCCTCATTAATATCTTCATAGATTGAAAATAACAGAGGGAACAGTGTACAGCCTTGTCGAACTCCTCTTATGCATGGATCTATTTCTTCATCCATAACTCAGACCCTGCCCCTGGCTTCATATACAATTCACAAACCAATCTTCTATCACGCCAGTCTCTTCCAAGGTCTTTCGAATACCAGGATCTTAATCTAGTCCACCCTATCAAAAGCTTTCACACAGTCCACAAAGCAGATATAGAGTTCCTTTCCATGGTCTAATACTTTTTCACAGAGTATACGCATGACTACAATTGCATCTCTTGTACCACATCCTCTCTTGAAACCAAACTGTGTTTTGCTGATGTAATCCCTACCTTTCCTCCTAGTCTTTTATCCAGTACCCTAAGGAAGATCTTTGACACTTACGTAATTAGGCTGATGGTTCTGCATTCCCCACATGTAGTTGCATTCACCTTCTCTGGCAAAGGTATCGTGATTACCTTTGTGAATTCTGTTAGCCAGACACCTTCATGAATTCTCTTGCATATATCAACTAGCTCTGACGTTCGTTCCTTCCTTACCCAAGTTTTTTTTTTTTTTTTTTTTTTTTTCAAAACTACAGCTTTTCTATTCTTTAAATCCTTTATTAATTTCGTTATCTAATAGTTCTGGACCTTTACAGTCATCTACTGCCTATTTTTTCACTCTCTGTTTAAAAAATCTTCAGAGGTTTCATTTCACTATCACATACTTCACTATATCGATCCATGATATCATCTTTGTCTGTCAAAAGGTTTCCTTTCTCATCTTTAATAGCACTTCCACTATTACTTCCCTATTTTGTTATATTTTGTTATACCCTTTCTGTCTAACTCTTTCAGATGATCTTCACATTTTTCTTTCCATGACTCTTCCCTTGCCTTGTTTGTTTCCCGCCTAAATTCATTATTTATCTCTTTATACTTTTTTTTTTTTTTTTGCCTTCCTTAGTTATATTCTTCCGCTTTCTCCTTTCATCCATTTTCTTTACCATCTCTTCAGAAACCCATGGCTTCTTTGCTGCTAACCTTTCTTGTATCCAGTTTCAGTCTTTGCACTTTCAAACACTGCCTCCTTCAGGGTATTCAGTTACAATCAAACCCATTTTCCTCTTTTATTCTTGATTTTTCACTTACATTATTTTCAACATATTTTCTAAGTCCCATTTTAATCTCTTCCTTCTCTTTCCAACTTTCTTCAAGATAACCACCTGTCTCATAACTACTAAATTGTGATCTGAATCAGCGTCTGTTCCTGGAAGGCTACAAGCATTAATGACACTGTTTCTCTACCTTTGTCAAACCGGGATATAGTCTATTTGGAATCGACTGTCTCCTGTGTTTTTCCATATGCATACACGCTTTTTTCATGCTCAAAACGAGTGTTAGCTACTACCATCTTCTGCTGACTGATCTCAACAAGTCTTTCAACTCTCATTTCTGGTGAAATGTCTGAATGGTCCTACTTCTGTTGCATTCTTTCCTTCTCCAACGTCTCTGTTCCAATCACCCATTATTATCAAGTCTCAATTAGATCATTCGGCTGTTCATATATCTCCTTAACTTCTGCTTCCTCATGCTCTTACGTTTGTATATATACCTATATATTTACTAGATTTACAGGTTCAGCTTGCACTCGTGCCAAGATCAATCTTGGTAAGGTCACACACATACACACTTATACCGATTCATTATATGCAGAATGTTATCGTTTGAATATTAGGCGCTGGGGGGAGGATGAGCTACAGTCTAGAATACGAAAACGAAAACGAAAACAACGGTCTCAGAACACCTAGATCGCATCATTGGTTAAAACAAATATGTCAATGATTATGTATGTGTAGATATGAATGTGTATGGTTCTCTCCGGCAACATTTTAAGCATCAGTCGAATCAGCATTCAATTTATAAATGGATCTTTTATACAGCTGAATCCTGTAAACCTAAAGCTTGGAATCCACTTACATGCTTGTTCCAGAGAGCAAGAAGAGCGTCCATGCAGTTAACCATTCTTTCTCCCTTGCCACAGCGGCCATCTCACGGACTAACGATGGTGTCAGAGCAGCGCTGGCGCCTTTGTCTATCAATCTATCAGCCTATCTGTCCATCTACCTTTCTATCTATCTGTATAAATACCTATATCTCTATGTATACATATATCTGCAAATACAAGCGCGTACATGGCCTTAACCCTTCGGCCTCCCCCCCCTGCAGCGTGCCATGGTGGCCAGCACAGGGACCAGCGGCGGCATTCTCAGCGGCGGCGTCGAAGGCAGCGTCGGCGTCCGGGTCCTGACGGCGACGGCTATGCTGGCGGCGTTACTGGCACTCCTCATGCCTGCAGCTGCCATCGATCCCCTCTCCACCCTCGAGTGCCATCGCCGGCAATACACTTACAAGGTACGGAGAAAAGGGACACGCTGTTAAGGGTGCAATATACTTACACGATACGGGGGAAAGGGACAAGTTTATGTGGCGAGAATGTGACACACTTCCAACGTGCAGCAAAAAGGGACAGCCTGCAAGGGTGCAGGTACTAGGAGTACCACCAACAATACACTTACAAGGCACGGGAAGCAGAACAGGCTGTAAGGGTGCGAGTAACGGCACAATAGACGTAACTAAATGGGCACAAGCTGTAAGGGTGAAAATTGCAATACACTTACAAAGTACACTAAAAAGGGATTTACTGTGAGCATGCTAATTATGACACTCGAAAGTACAGGAAAACTGGACAAGCTGAACGATGAAATAACTTTACACTGACAAAATCCATCAAAAAGGGACAGAAAATGATAATTTGTAAAAGTGATAATGACACACTTGCAATTACAATGACACACTTACAACAAAGGGGGAAACTTAAGAGTGCGAGTTATAACACACTTAAAAGAGAACAGAGTGCAAGGGTGCGAATGACGAGAGAACCGCCACTGGCAATACGAGTAGAAAGAGAGAGAGAGAGAGAGAAGAATAACATGTCCGTGAGAGAGGCGATGGTCACGTGTCCTTGCAGGATGTTTTTGCTCTCTCATTCACTATCGATTCCGAGACTTGACTCATTTTCCCAATTACCGGTGTGTTTAAACTGCGGATTTTCATTCATCATGTCAACACAAAACTGTTTTCGCTATTAGAATAATAGATAGGGGGAAGAGGTGGAACGGCAGGTAGAGAGAGAGAAAAGGAGAGAGGAGGATAGAGGCAGAGGAAGGGTAGAGAAAGTGGGAGAGCAAGTGGGAGGATGGCGAAAGAGAGAGGGTATATATATATATATATATATATATATATATATATATATATATATATATATATATATATATATATATATGATAGAAAAGGAGAGAGGAGGATAGAGGTAGAGGAAGGGTCGAGAAAGTGGGAGAGCAAGTGGGAGGATGGCGAAAGAGAGAGGGTATATATATATATATATATATATATATATATATATATATATATATATATATATATATATATATATAGAGAGAGAGAGAGAGAGAGAGAGAGAGAGAGAGAGAGAGAGAGAGAGAGAAAGAGAGAGAAAGAGAGAGAGAGAGAGAGAGAGAGGGAGAGAGAGAGAGAGAGGGAGAGAGAGAGAGAGAGAGAGAGAGAGAGATAGAGAGAGAGAGACTAAGACAGAGACAGAGAGAGACAGAGAGAGAGAGAGATAGAGAGATGGGGGATGAGGAGAACAAGAGACAGGCAGACATATAAACAGACAGATGGGTAGATAGTTAGGGTAGCAGGTAGATACACAAATAAATAGATAGCTAGAGAGACGAGGACCTAAGTGTTCACCCTCCCTCTGGCGCCTTGCAGGTTCACAAGACAGATGATAACGGTCGAATGTGCTGGGACTATATCAACGTGATGAGCTGCTGGGGCCGCTGCGATTCTAACGAGGTAGGTGTCCCCTTTACTGCCTGGCGAAGCTTCATCGTTACCATCACTATTATTATTGTTCAAGACGGGTTTTAGTCTCATGTGCATGGAGGATGTTTCAGAAAGTAGAAAAAAGTAGTTGATAATAGTACGAGAGAAAATAATAAGAATATGTCAGTGTACTTTTAGAGACGAATATTTACAATGATGATAAGAGCAACAAAGGCATCGTCGTTAGCAGCAAGAACGAAAAAGCAATAGAAACTTTAATGATACTGACAACAATGTGGCCTTCCAAACAGAAAAAAATCGACAGGTATGGATAAAAAAAACGTCCATTCTGCTACCTGCTTAGTTCTCCTTTGCTATAGAAGCCACACATGCACTAACAGTGGCGTCATTGAAGATTGTAAATGCAGCGTCTATTTTCCTCTTTAACATTATTTACCAACTTTTTAAACATCAACAGGAGACGACGAGCGGAGATTTTCTCATGTAAACACGTCATGCGAAGACGTTTCCAGACAGGATTCAATATTTTTTTCCCGTGACAGGAATTAAGATGAATAAATAAATAAAAGCTAAAACTAAATTCTCTGTTCGGTTAAACACAACAAGTAACTGCTTTGATTTCAAGGGTTTAATAGGTATCTTCCACGTGATATAAACAGATAGTATTGGTGTGATGGAAGACGACATCGCGCCGCCCACTCATGTGGCGCAGCCAAGTGAATCGAGGATTTCAGCATCAAATGTTCGGATTTTTACGTTAAACGTCCTTTGCATTTCCCCATCTGCAAATCGGTGGAAGAATGACGGATGATTATTACCATACTGTTTGTGGATGGCTTGGCGAGGTGACATATAAGCGGATCCATGGCTACTGAAATCTCTTTCATTAGGTATTTTTCACATTAAGTTCATTACGCTAATTCGGAGAAATGTCATTAGTGGAAGTGCTTAGTTATCCTTCCGTCGACCGAGGCTTGATAAAGGGAGATCTAAGCCGATTATGAGAATTATGCCTCATTTTTCATTCAAGGATTTCAGAGTTTGTTGTCCTAAATTTCGCTGCCCCAGTTTGAGCAAGAGGTCAGATTATTATCAAATCTGCTCGTATATCACACCTAATCCTGTTAGGAAGCTGTGAGACCAGATCTATACAGTATTCTCGGAGATATGAATATCAATACAGTAGCATTTTTAGATTAAGATCTGGAATGATTATCTCAATAGTATAATGTAAGTGTTACTGTTTATGTGTTCAAGGAAAAGCTACCGTCGAGCTGTGATGCAGACGTATCTAAAGAAGTCATCTTACATGTTACCTTCTACTGCGCAATAATGTCAAAATTTTAAAACATCAGTAATTCTTGTGTAATAATGCCATGATTATGAGGTGTTTGAAACAAATTACACTTTATAAATGTATAATCACTTACGGTATCAGTTCAGATATGGGGGCGTTGCCCTGGAAAAGCAATTGGTGAATGCCCTAAGGATAGGAGCATGAAAATACAGCATGGGAATTCCTTTGAAAACCTTAGTATTATGTGCTAAGTACTGATAACCCACCACAGATGAGTAGCGGAGACAGCCGTCGGTGTTTGTTATAGACTGTAAAGCAGGTTTGGATTTTTTTCTTCTGTACGCAATTTGAATCCGGTAACAAAATCCGGATTGTTGCTAAGACTTTGTAATATACAA